CCATCGCCCGCTCCTTCCCATCGCCCGCTCCTTTGGGCTCCTTGCCCGCGCCCAGCCGGCTCTACCGGCGGCCCTGTGCCCCCGGAGTTCCCCCCTCCTGCAGCCTCCCTCCCACTGCTCCCCCGCTCGCTCTGTCCCGCCCGTGGAGCCGCTGCTCCCCGTGCGTGCTTCTCGAGCGGCGGGATACCCCCCTCCTCCCCGGGGCCGACTGAAATGTACTGGGCCTCGTCAAGCACTTTCCAGGACCTTAAAGCAGGCTCCCGCGTGCTTGCTGCATCATTCCAAAAGTTTTCTGTGTCAAGGGAGGTGTAGACTGGGTATTAGGCAAAGGTTCTTCCCCCAGAAGGTGGTCGGGCACTGGAACAGCCTCCCCAGGGAAGTGGTCACGGCACCAAGCCTGAGTTCAGGAAGTGCTTGGACACTGTTCCTGGGCACATGGTGTGACTCTTGGAGTGTCCTGTGCAGGGCCAGGCCTTGTCCCTTGTAGCTCAGGACATTCTCTGATTCCTCTATCAGACCAGCCCCCCTTTCTCCTTTCTTGGCACACCTGCCTAAGACAGTTTCAGGCTCAAAACCTGTTCCTTGAAGGACCCACACTGGGAGAGCGCTTAACTGGAGCAGGGAGGGGCCCTCTGCTTGTCGTACTCCCGCACACAAGACTGGAAAGGAAGAACATCTTAGTGCTGTGTCTTTTGGATTTGATTATCCTCTGTGCCATGGCCCAACACATGTCTGGCTGGCCATTGCATCTTGTGTGTGATGGTACCTGGGAGCAGGAAGGACACTGTAGTTCTCTTTCTCATCCTGAAATTCCATGGACTTGAATGAGCTTAGCACTAGTGCTTTGTGCCCCTGGCTATGGCTGTTTTCTCTCTCTCACCCACTGCTCTGACCCCTGCGTGGGTGACCTGTAGGGCCTGAGGTCACCCAAATGTGTCCTCTCAGGCATTACATTGGCTGGTGGGCTTCCTTTGAGCTGTGCACAGGCATGGGGTCTGTGTTCTTTCTGTCTCAGAACCACAGAATCAATTAAGTTGGAAAAGATCTCTGAGGTCGAGTCCAACTTATGGCTGAATACCACCCTGCAACCAGATTGTGGCACTAAGTGTCATGTCCTGTCTTTCCTTAAACACCCCCAGGGATGGAGACTCCACCACCTCCCTGGGCAGCCCATTCCAATGTCTAATCACTCCTTCTGGGAAGAAATTCTTCCTAATGTCCAACCTTACCATGTGCTTGAGACTGTGTCCTCTCATCTGGTAGTCTCCCTTCAGTGAAGCACAGTATGCACGTGTAGCTCCTGGGCTTTGAAATACTTGCTTTGTAAATCAGCAGTGCTGAAATTGGTTTGCATAAGGAAGCACTCCTTTCTGTTGTAAAATAAATCAATAGAAATAAGACATAAGTAATAAGGAAATAATTTATAAAAATAAGCAAAAAACTTTTGAAGTATTGAAACGCTAATTTTGAGATGAGTGTGATGTTATGGAGGGGGGAAGTTGAAGTCTCCTGAATGACTCATGTGCACCTGTACTGGGAGTCCTGAATACAGTCATGGGTTGGTTTTTATTACAAATAAGAGAGATTATGGAGGGTAGCAAGAAGAAATTCAAAGCAGTGGTGTGACATAAGTGAAAAAATGTTTATAAGACCCTGCTTGATAAGTATGAGAGAAAAGGAGCAACTCTATAGATAGGTAATGAGACACACAGTGAGGGTTTGTGTATGAATATACGGTGAATGTTAAAGGAAGCATAACTCCCACTAGCTTGCTGGGGATCTAATTTAAGTGCTGTAGCAATTATTTCTACTGATAATGTTTCTACCTTATGGGAAATGCATAAGTAAAATCTTTTCTTATACCGAGTTTCTCTACACTGAGATTTTACTAATGTAACTATGCAAGTAAATTCTGAACTGACACCAAAACCATCCATGGAGGATAGGAAATACTGATGTAAAAATGCTAATATTAAAAAAAAAAAAAGGCAGACAAGATGAGAAGGAAATTTCAGAGTAGAGGTTCTTTTAATGCCACATTTCCTACTGTAGGAAGTAAAATCAGCAATTATGTTGTTGAGACTGGTCCCAAATATGGGAACTGTCTGATTTTTTCTCATCTTAGTAGCTTTAGAAGACTAAAGCATTTGAGGAGTTAACTAGATTTTTAGTTGAAAAAGAAAGCGTTAGCAAAATAGTTGGTTTGGAATATCTGGTTGAAATCTACTAATTATAGTCATCCTCCCCCATCTCTTTTCAGTGATGACAAATTCAGTATTTTTACAGTATAATTTCATCCAACTTCCTCTTCTTTCTGTTTCATTCTGAATTTTTACTAACACCCTGTTAGGCCCATCTTCTGTTCAGGCAGTGGAGCTTCTGGAACCTTCAATTGGCTGATTATGTCTTTATGGGAGACTGAATGTAATAATTTTATTAGACATCTAACACAATAGTTTTGGTCTGTGCAAAGGCCACATTTAGTTCTCTTGACTAAAAAATACATACTTCTGTAATTCAGACACAGAAATAAAATGCAAGTTCCGTGGAAAGCAGTTGACTAGTCCAAGTCAAGGTAAAATAGTGTCATAGCTACCAATTTTCAGTATATTCATAATAATCATTGAGTTCTTGTTACATACTGCGGCATGAAATACGTATTTTTGTCTTTTCAGATACCATAACCTTAAGAATGCAGTTGGTTTATCAAAGAGCTGGCCCTTGTTCCTCATGTTTGAAGAGACAATTAAATGGCTTCCTGGGATTAATTAAATGGCAGAGAAAACTGGTTCCTGCTCGTGTGAGAACTATTTACAGTGAGACGGGGAAATGGGAAAAAAAATATGGGTTGGAGACAAGAAAACGAGTTGAAAATTGGTGGTTCCCAAGAATAAAGGATCAGTTCTGCAGAATTTCAGAAATTGATGTAAGCATTATGAGAAATTTGGAGATGGCATGTTTATATTTTTGTTTTCTTAGAATGAAATGGATTGAAGCTTACTTAGTACAGATGGCTTATAATGGTTAGAGGTGCATTACATTTCAGGGGAAAATACTTTCATATAGATTGTTAAAAGCTATTAATGAAATAAGTAAACAAAAACAATAAAAAATCCTGAGGAAAAATACAGTGGTAGGCAAAATATAAATTTGTAAATTTAGGAAGTATTTAAGTAATCAGTTCTTTCTTTGCATATTACACAATATTTGGCAGTTCATTATTTAAAGTATTAAAAGAAACATCTATTTGTAACTTTTGTAAACAATTTTCTCAAGGTTGCATTCCCAGTGTTATGACAAATCTATTACACTACACCTGTGACTCACTAAAATCTGTGTTAAGGGAAAATGATTTTTTAATATTTTCTGGTTTGCAGTCTCAGGAATAGTAAGTGACTTGAAGAAAAAAAAAGTTTTCCCATGCAATAAAAGATCTTGAAAACAATGGTATCTCAGTCTCTGACTCTTTTTGCCTTCACAGTTGTTCTGTCACAATAGATAAAAAACACTTTTGTGGCCCATTGTGGTTTTTTGTTCATCTCCCTTAAAAGCTGCCTTTTCTCTGACAAAAAAAAAATACCAGAATGTTGAAGAGAGAAAAGAGCTTGCTGTTTCTGGGGAAGAAAACTGGCATGAAATGGTGTGCATGCATACCTGTAGCAGGGAAAGCATTCATTTAGACTTGTGTCTTTTATACAAATACATACATAGGAATCATATATAGCATACATATGCTAAGTTCTAAATTGTATTTTTAATGATATTTTCAATCCTTACAGTTGAAGTAGGTTTAGTAACATCCCATATTAAGAGGCAAATAGTGTGTAGTGCTGCAATGAAGTACTCAGATTATTTCTCATTTTGCTGTGATTGAATGAAAGTGATAAAGAAATATTATTTGACAAATATACATTCGGTATATACTGGTTTATATATTAATAATATTAATAATAATTATATTTATATATTCAGAATACTGTTTTATTCAGAACAGTAAAAGCTGAAAGCTGCCTGTAATTTTTTTATTATTAACATTAGAAAAATAATGGAAGAATTTAGCAAGTATCAGTGATACTTGATACTATCAATGTATCAGTGATGAATTCAGTGGTAATCAAGATGTATTAGGAATAATTGATGTGAGAGAGGATTTGTGATTTCTTTGTAACTTTTGTCATTTTAATTAAACCTAAGTAAATTAAATTTTGATTATGCAAAATATAGCATGTAAGATGTGTTTGGATCTGAGCATACATAGCGAAACTGAACAGTTTCTCTTTAGCAGATGTTCATGCAATTGCAAATGATGTAGTCACTCTGGGAGTTACTGCAGTTCAGCTGACAAAAAGCAACTGGCCAGGAGTGAGCTCTGTGTTTGTTGTTAATACAAAGTAAAACATTAATTATTTAAACTGTTATGAGAGTAATTTAATCTGCTATGTTTTCATGTTTTTGTTGGGGCAGACTAAGAACACATAGATAATCAGTTGCAGATGCTACAGTGGCAATGGTGCTTTGTTAAGCTTCAGTTCTGTCAGTATAGTTTTTTTTGAGTAAAAGTGAATCAATTTTCTTAACATTCAAGTGCCATAGAAGTGTCAGTACAAATTGGTGAGATGGCAGCAAAGTGGTAAAACATCTCCATTTACAGCCCCAAAGAAATTGATCCAATGAACTTCATCAGTGCTCACTTGGATCAGTTCCAGCAGAACCGTGTTTCTCTTTCTGGTATCATGTAGTAGTTTATAATGTGCACGTGTATTTATTCAAGTGAAATGCTAACTCATGTAGTTACTAGTTTCTAAAAATTTCTTTCTAGAAATCAAGACCAAAATTTTATGTGCTTTCTATGTTCCCATATCCTTCTGGGAAGCTTCACATGGGCCACGTTCGTGTCTACACCATCAGTGATGCAGTAGCTCGGTTCCAGAAAATGAGAGGGATGCAGGTAAGAAGAGATAAGTGGTAGGACTGGGTGGGGTTTTTTTGTATTTTAGTATCATAATTGATCAGGAAATCAGTATTTTCCAAAATCCATGAAAGTGGAATATGTGCTACAGATCTGTAGATAATGACCCATGAAGCTTTGAGTATTGATATTCAAGACTTTTATTAAAGCCGGTGGTGTTCAGAATTCACTGTTGGTAAGAGATGGTTAGAAGCTACCTCAGATGATAACAGCTGATGCTGGGTGAGGTGCCTGAATCTACTGATGTGTCACACAGTGTTGCTGAGACCTGTGAGGCCACACAGTTTTTATGAGACTGACAACCCTCCTGTCGTCTGGGTGGGACCAGGGGAGAGGAAAAGATTTACCTGGCAAGAGAAAATAGACACCACCAAAATCAACTGCCTTCACCTCTTCTGCTCCTGAGAACCAGTTCATGTCATTTGTCACACACGTAGGGACAGCCTCTGTGCCAGCTGGGAGTGAAACCTCTGGTTTTTTGTGACTGCTGCAAGTCAGATGAGCAGGATCATTGCCACATCATGTGTGTGTAGCTGAAAGTTTCTCTTCTGTAGCATCTGGCCCCTTGGCTTGCCCCTTTCAGCCTTGCTTATATATTTGAAATATCTTCTGAAGGTGCAGGCCTACAAGGTAGGCTAAGCCTAACTTTCTTGCTGCATCTGCAAGGAGAAATCCTATTTTCCCTTCCACATTTCTCTGTTTCTCTGTCTCCCCTATGCCTGCCATAATTTCTCCCTAGCTCCCTTCTGTCTCTCCATTAGGTTGAAGGGGTAGCTGAGAGCCTTGTTCCTGCAATCTGCAGTGGGATCCTGGCTGGCATTCTGCAGTAAAGGCTGGCAAGGTAAAATTTGAAGGATGTAAGGAAGGTGTGGGAGAACTGTGGCCAGAGTGACAGCCATATTACAGAGAAAAGACATTTGGTAGAGGGAAAATGTGAAGAATCTGGGAAAACAGTAGGAAGGAGGAATATGGAAAGAGAAGGGAACAAAAGAGAAAAATAGCATAGGCAAGGATCTAGGATGACAGGAAGGAGTCTCTAATGTACAAGAGAGAAGGAGCAGCTCAAGAATATAGGTATCAGCATCAAAAGAGTACAAAGAAGATGAAATAGAGAAAAAAATTTGTTAGTTGCCTGTTGTGGTACTAAGTGCTATTTCCTTGCTGCAAGTGCTGTAGAAGTGTAGCATTTCCTGGATTGATCACCGTCCATGAGATCTGATAGGTATCGTCACTGCATTATTCAGTGTGCTGCCTTTCCAAATACTATGTATTTTATGCCAGTGATGAACATACCATGCACTGAATACTTGCTGCTGCTTTACACATACGCATTCCTAGGCTTTCAAAATTACAGGAAAAAGAAATGACTGCCTTAGACTTTAAAGGAGACAAAACCCCCAATGTCTGTTATAACACTTACCTTTCCTGACTCCTCTGAATGACCAGAATTTGGATCTCACTAAAAAAATTGAGCTAATGAGGCATTTGAAGGAATGCTTGATTCTTGCTTGATTCTTGCTTGATGTTAAGACCACTAATGATATAGCCATCTCTTACCAATGGCAGAGGAGGTAGCAAGTAAATTGCTGTTCAGCAAGCTGAAAATTTTCTTCTTATACTTGCAAAAATAAAGTGAAAATAATTATCTACATCAGTAGCATGCCCTAGTTGTAAACTTTTGCATACAAGGTAAGTAAGCACCTTTAATAGAAAAATTTGGAGGAAAGTAAAGATAATATAATTCCAGTGAAGTACAAGAGCCACCATGCAAACAAGTTTTTACTTCCACATTTGCCTATTTTTTTCCCAGAAAAATTTTTCCAGACTTTTCAAGTTTTTTACATCTTGCATTTCAGCATATTTTTATATTTCATGTAAAAATGACTTTGAAGAAGTGCCTGTAGAACATGCTGGATTTCTAAAAATACTTTTATCTTCTGTTATGTTAACCAGTTTGAACATCTATTTTTGACTAAAGGTGGGCAGCCAAAGAATATAACTTTCATTTACGATTAAGAGACATTAAAAGTCTCTCAGATGATTTTCTGAGTATGTCAGATTAAGAGACATTGCGTTATTGATGTGCATTAACTTGCTGGAACTTACATTTACCTTAAAAAACTTTTCCCATATTACCCATGCTAATTTCTCCATCACTTAGAATTAGAGTCTGTATAATTGATTTTTTCTTTGCAATTAACTTATCAACTTCTAAAAGTTCTATCTGCCCTTTTTCATGGTTGTACAATCTGTCAAAGGTTATTATGATGTTTAAGATATTGTGACAACTGTAGGCTAACACATGGTTATGTCATAATACTTGCTACATTTCTTAGAAAAATAAATTTGACCCTGTATTCAAGGAATTACTGGAATTCTTCAATATATTAAAAAAAATGCTTTAGAAACAAACTGTTAGTATGCATAATTGTGAAGTTACTCCATTGATTTTCTATTTCTTTCTCAAAATTTGGCTCTAATATTGTATGTTTGAAAGCCTAGGGACTGCTAATTTTTCTCCAATCAAAAATCTGAGTAGAAGTGGAGCCATTGCAAAGTTAGGGTAAGATTTTTGAGTGGCAGTGTTGTTTAAACTTTATATCCATCATTTTCAAGTTAAAAAAAAAGTGTAAGACAATGAGGAATGATGGGCTGTTTACCATCAAAATTACAGACAGAACCCTTCAGATTTACAGTTCCCAGGGAAAGCTTCAGAGTACTATATATATTTGTTATTTAATAAACAATGAGGGAAAATAGCTATGGTGTGTATGTAGTTGAGAAGAATATATGATTAAGAGAGCAATTTATGTTGAATAAGATGGAGGTATTTTTCATTAAGAATGCCTTAATGGGAAAACAGTGAATTAGTTACATATTGATTTAATCTGAACAGGCAAGCATTGGCCCATATTTTGTAATATTTTAGTGAAGATAGACTAGAATACATTTACAAAGGGATTAGAGGTCCTTTAGACCTTTTTTGGAATGCAGTTGTGTAATTTCTTCATATTGGAGGTATTTTGAAATTTTAACTGGGAAAGTCTTTAATGATTTGGATTCTGCTGTGGTTTTGGTTTTTCTAAAATGTAATTTAGTATTCAATTTTTTTCAGCTCCATAAGGTCTGATTTTGTTTCAATTAAAATATTCTAGAGAGGTAATGCACACTGAACTCTACAAATATTTCCCAGAAACCTGTACTGCGTCAGCACTTTTAAGTATGAAAATAAATATCTACTGCACTTTTCTCCACCTTGTTTCTGAGAGAGATACTGCTTCAATAAAAAAGCATTGTGAAGCGTTGTCTTGTTCCAGCACTCAGTCCTCAAGGACCTGTAGGCAGTGCATGGGAAACAAGCTGTCATGCGCTTGGATTGGGTTGCTGGATAAATGATTTGTAGAGTACATCTGTTTTAAGATAACTTGTTTACATTTTGATTACTGAAGATGAAGTTTGAAGTCTCTGCATGGGAAATGTAGGCCATATAGATTACTTAGCATGACTGCACTGAGATGGTCTTTCCAGAATGTGTTAACGTGCCATGTTTCTTGAAGTGCAATTAAAACAGTTTTTGTATATGGAGACCTCTACATACATATGTATTATAAACAAACATATGTATTACAAACATATGTATTATAAAATGCTTGAAAAAGTAATTTGTATATTTTGAATGACAAATTCATACCTATTAATAAATCAGTTCAGAATTATGATGTGTAGTTTCTAGTTGTGTTTACTCTGTGAATTTACATGCATGTTATGAATTCAAATTTAGGAGTTTTGTAAGAAATGATGAGATTTCCTATTCATTATTTGAGAGTGCAGTATAGAAATGATAGAGATATTCATGGTGGTTTTCACTGTGGCAGATTTCCAGTGTGCTGTTGCTCTGAGAAAAAGCATTTCCCATTACTTTATCATGGTATCGTTAACACGTCTTTGATAAATTCCAAAGTGGATAAATTGTGCCTCTCAGAGGACTGAGAATAATTCCCTTAGTGATCACTAAACAGAGAGTGATTCAGTTCAATAGTTCTTGTGGTATCTTCCTAATGAAACTGGTACCAAAGCAAGGCAGTCGCATGTGAGAGTTGTACAGAACCAAGAACAGTCCTTTCCGTAATCAGGGTGAAATTTCTACATGCTAGCTTCACACTATACTAATTATTTCTTAATTTACATATAAACTGTGATGGATGGGATTAGAATATAATCAGTGATATTTCTACAATAATAACAACGTAAATTACGTAAAAACAACGTAAATTCATTGTAAATGAATTTAAGAGCGTTTTCTTTTTATCCATATCCTCTTTCAAATTTGATGTATTTTCATTAATTGTTTTCCCTTTCAGCAGTGAATCTTAATACTCTCGAAATTGCAAAAGTGAATGGTATTGAAGCCAGACAGGCAAGTTTAATTAAAACTCTATAATTAATCATCAGTAGAACAAATTATTTCAATACAGATCTGTTTTCTGATCATCACTGGCTGCTGTTCTCCACTTTTTTTTGTGTGTGAGACTGTTGTGGCCTTTTGTCAGGTTATTTCATGTGGTATAAATCAAGTAGCAAATATTGCAAGTATTGTGTGTGAATTGAATCTTAGTTAATTTCACTTTTCCCATAGCCTGTACTGAAGGTGTTAATGAGCTCACTCAGTTTCGTTTTGAAAGAAAAAGAGAAAATGAGATATAATTTTAAATGTAATTATGTTAGACAAGAATGTGTGAGATTAAGGAAGAAAAAGATGACTTTGTTCTCAAAATGTGTGTGGTACTCTGTGGATGTTGAATAATTTCTTGTGTTTTATGTTTTATGAGAATAAAAATAAATGGGCATTTTATGTTTTGATAGAAATCTGTATGGGTTGATTATTTTGAAAGTGCCTTCTCTAATATGCAGCGCTATGTTGCAGAGAAGCATTGAAATAGTCCTTTTTAGAATGTACACACTGGTCAAAAATTCCTTAT